GTATACTTATACCACCGTCCCATGGGTATGAAAAACAGCAGCCAATTATTGTTGAAGATCGTTATCGTCACTGAAAGGAAATCCCCATATTTACCTCGGAAGCGTACGAGATACAAAACTGAAACAACGAATTCGAAGAACGCCAAGAGCTAGCTGAATAGTATCTGAAAAATCGCATGCACTTTTGAAATTTAAACGGTTCAGCGTAACTATGTTCATTCTGATTACCTCTGAGATCTGCTAGGCCTAACTAACTACATTTCAATTTCCAAACAAGACAGGCGAAATCGTCATTAGTTCATCGGTTGATTTCATTCCTGACAGTAACTATGTTTCTAAATACTTCATTCATATGGTCTATCCTCATTATTATGGTGTTAGGCTCTCAAATAACATGATTCAGATTATAGGATCATCTCTGCGCCGGTTCAATAAAGACATGTTTCAATTAGTTTCAATAATAAATACATTAATTAATGTAAAAGGCAAATATGGTTTAATATTTCACTATCATATAATTGTTATTATCATTATTATATATTTGGCCTATCATTTTCATAGTTATTAATATAATATTAATATTATTATCATCTTGATTATTAACGTTATTATGATTATTGTTAATTTTATTGTTAATTATTATTATTTGATATTTTCATAATTATTAGTATATTGTTATTTATTTACACTAAATTGGTATGGCAGACGGTAAAACAACCTGAATTGAGTCGAGTATTATACATACTTAAACAAATCTGCGAAAAGACAAAAATCTCGTTTGTTATTACACTCGAGTGCAGTAAATAACAGCAATTTTAGGTATGTTTGAGAGAGTGTTGTTGATTCCCAGTTATAAATGTCTCAGTACTCGTGTTTGTCTATAAAATGTAAAAACAAAAATAATTAAAACAAACGAGGATGACAATGCCTGTTTATTATAACATAACAGCAGTTCACATTAACATGTCAAGGACACCACATTGTGCTTCCTTAAACTGGTTGAAAACAAGAGCGGGGAATTCTAAATGGTGATTAGGAAAGTTTGGGAAGAACAATATTTTTCAACGGGGACGGGCATCCATATAGTCGGTATTTTATTTATTTTTTTTTTATTAAAAAAGTAAAGGGTTTCGTTTGTCCAAGCACAGTGACATTTAGGGTTGGATTGTCGGCATAATATAAAATAGGCCTAGAACACACTTTTAACACATAGGCCTACATTTTAGTGGTGGTGGTGGCGATGATGATAATAATGTTGTGGTGGTGGTGGTAGTGATGATGATGATGACGAAGACGACAATGATGATGATGATGATGATGATGATGACGATGATGATGATTATGATGATGATGATGATGATGATGATGATGATGATGATGATGATCGATGATGAAGATGATGATGATGATAATGATGATGATGGTGGTGGTGGTGGTGGTGTTGGTGGTTGCGGTAATGCTGATGACGATTATGATATGGATCATGATATTTGTAGATGGTGTCAATATTAATGATGATGATAATGATGATGATAGTGGTGATGGTAATGATGATGATGATGATGGTGATGATGATGATGATGATGACGACGACGACGACGATAATAAAAAAAGTAGTTCAATATAGATTGTATTTTAATTAAAAATCAGAAGAATACAAATGAAATCCTTAATCGAAAGAAGTTAATTGTTCATTTAAATTATTTTCCTCACGAATTCCCTTCCGGAGATTTACACATTAAGCCACTTATAACAACAAGCCAAAAACCACTCGAGTGTTATTCACTCTAATTCAACTATAACTAATTGGTTTTGGCATACTGTATATGCAATAGGGGAAACGAGGGCCCCTGACCAGAGTAATATCTGGGGGAAATAAAACTGACAAGAAAATACAAAATGAAGGATTTGTCATGCTAAAGACTACCGTACCACAGATTGAAGTTTTTACCCATATCTCTCAGTGGCCCTAAGTAGATAATCAATGCTGAACATGTTCCAACTTCGACATGCACGCAACATTTTATTATAGGCCTATTGACAGTTTTCCCAATCGATTTTATTGTTTTTATTGGTACGACTGTGTTCCATCGCACTTTCCCGGTATTTTGGCCCCCAGTGAGTTCAAACCCCTGTATATGTAACGTACTAGTGAATTCTCCCCATGCCGAATTTCCTAATTTCAGGACCAAATTACCTACCCGAGTGGGAAGGAGGGAAATTCAATAGGGTTTGGCTGAGGGGCTCAGGGGGACGAATTTACGGCGGCCGGAATCTCAGCTTTAAAATTATTCGCACACAAATGTACTCAAACATTTACAAGAGCAAAATTATACCTGCTTCTTCTTGTTTAAAAACAATGTTGATCGAATTATTTTTTATTTATTTATTTTTTTTTTATTAAGCCTATAATACAACCCGTACCGGACAACAAAATAGACGTATCATTGAAAAAACCTCAAAGAAGGTGAATGACATGAGTAAAATATTCATCACAGGATATGGGTGCCCTCTGAAATTTGAAAGTTGTAGAAATTGTATATGAAAAACATTACATTTTTTTATGATAATAAAATACACATGAAGAAGAAATAAAGTAAGTCAAGCTTCCTGCCTCAACACAAAAGAAATTTTCATTAAAAAATTGTTTCAACAATTTCCTGTGACTATTGAGAAATATGTAAAATATTCAGAAGAAACAGTTGCATAAAATCTGTCAGGAAAACTCTGTAGGAATAAAGCTGTACACTTCTGAAAACTAAGAAGATATAGTTGATACAGTATAATTTGTTCGGGATAGCTATTTTAGCAGGCCAAGCGTATAGCGTTGAATTAAAAAAAAAATAGGGTTTAGTTGTCTGAATGCTAAAAGCTGAAGTCTTGGTTTGTGCGATAGTTGTTCCATTTGGTTTGTGATAGTTGTTCGACTTGGTTTGTGCGATATGTGTTCCAAAACAAGGGAGGAAACTTACCTATGCACAATGTCTTGATATTATCGGCTTAATTTCAGTAGAAAAACGATTTAAGCTTCTTACTATTTCTTTTATTGCCAAATATCTTCATGGCTTTTATGATTTTGATATTTTCAATTACATAACAATCACCTCTTGACACGGTGATTATTTTCAATTTGTACATCCATGTGCTCGAACAAATTCTCTAAAATATTCTGTGTTACATTTGTTTCCACGCGCTTGGGAGGAACTACCTGTAGAAACTACGGATTTATTGGTTTTGAATCTTAAAGCATTTTTAAACGATCTTAAATTATTATATTTCCAATAAGTACATTTACAGTGAAATTAAGGGGCGTTTATTTGAGTATATACAGTATCCCTTTTCCTCCAAAAAAGTAAACCCCACTTCCTTGAATATACGCCTCACTCGAATAAACGCCTTCTTAAAACCCTTCTCAACCATAAACGTCCGGGGCGTTTATTCGAATACATACGATAATTATGTTTCAACCAAAATCGCGACAGGTCGTTAGAGAACAGACATGGGGACGTTATGAAACATGTAACAATGATAAACCTGGGATAGTAATATTAACATCAGTTATTCGTGATGACCTTGTGCGTAGGTAGGCCTACAAGTATATTCCCCATAGCTATAGCAATTATTATCTGATTGTTAAGTTACCATAATTACAGCTTAAGACATCTAAAGTGAATAAGTAGATGAGATCTCACTTATGAGATTGCAACGCACTCTGTATTAGGAGTTAGGCTGCATTACTGTAATAAGCACCGGTACTTTCATAATGCGGTAATGAGCAAGATTGAAACTAAGAATAACCTATACATTTCTACCTCAATGGTTCCACAAAAACATTAGCCTAGGAATACGGATATAAATGCAAACTGTGCCTATCAACATATTTAATGATAAAATAAATGATGCAGATAGGGCGAAAGATCAATAACGCGATAGTATAACCAGATGGAATTCTCATGGCATATTCAGGAATAAGTAAGACATGCATATATCGATCGTAAATTAATCACGTGATTTGGATTATGTATTGTGAATACCATATGGTGGTATATTTGTCAGGTGGGCGCTTGAGATTCGCATTTAATCGGATATAAGATTTTAAATGATTGACCGAACTTGATTTCCTCCAACCGAGTGCTGGTATAAAATGTTACCGTACTGTTTACAACTCCGAATAGAAAAGAATGGTTTAATTTGTTATAATTGCATGTTATATCGATCATTATTCAAGGTTAGCAGTCAATATCACCAATACTAGCACTATGTGATATTACGTGGTCTAGGCTTTGTGCATTTGCTTTTGCAAATCCGTTAGCAATAATGGTAATGCTATTTTAAGAATACTACTATGTGCTTGGTGTGAAGAGTTCAAGAAGTTAATTCCAATATTTTGCTACTTCAGGCCTAAACGGGATTTTGAGATTTCGAAGACGCATATGTTGTATTGGGCGTTTGCTGTTAAATGGGCATATTTAGAGAATAACATATAAAAATCAAATCTAACAAATCCTGAAAAATTGTATAAATTAAGGAACTTAACCATCGTCTATTCTTATATGGGTTTATTTATTTATTTATTCAGAACTACACTTTTATATCAGTGGCATTCTTCACAAAAGCAAGGTGCGTCCAAGAAAATTAAAACAAAATTATGGTATCTAATAACAATGGGGCTATAGACTTTCGTACGTCAGTTCACGTCAGCCATATACTATACGTTTGCCTTTACAAACCTCATTAAACTGGTTCCATAGCGGAATACCGAATAGTATTTTATATTAGTGTAAATCTCGCGGCTATATCACTAGAAATTGTCATGTAGCATTGAGTTAAAACTACTTAAAAAATATAGAATGTAGGAAGACAAGTATTCTTAGGGCCTGAGTCTCATAGTAGCAGAAGTAGGCCTAGGAGAAATTGGTTGCGAGTTGCGTATAGATTCCAGCCAACTACCTCATATCGTTGTTGTTTAACCTTTGCCTACCTCTAATTACTCAACAGCGTGCCCAGGTAACAGTTGGGGTGTTGATTGCGGAAATCAGTGCAATTGCCGGCAAGGGTCTATCTGTGACCACGTGTCAGGTGTGTGCAAGTGCATGGCAGGATGGAAGGGCGCACAATGTGACCAGCCATGTGATCCACCTACATTCGGAGAGAATTGTAGTCAAAGATGCACGTGCGAGAATGGGGCAACATGTGACGTTGGTACTGGTCAGTGTAGGTGCCCACCCGGAGTTTACGGACGAAATTGTGAATTGTTGTGTCCACCTGGTTTCTACGGCGTTGGATGTACAAGCAGGTAAGTCTAATGGCTGAACTCGTAGTACACACAATAAAATAAAGTTGAGTCTTGGGTTATGCGCAGACGATAGGTTAAGTGTTAGGCTATTTATAGCCTAGTACAGTAAAAGTTAATCTCAATAAAACGATTCTAAAACATGCGTTCGTCTCATTTGACTTATTTTATTCGATTTTATTTCCAGATGTGGCTGTCTAAATAATGGACTATGTGACCACGTGGACGGGACATGCACGTGTCCGGCTGGATACATCGGTGGAAAGTGTGAACGTACATGCCCAAGTGGATTTTATAGCATAGGATGTACGAGCGTGTGTAACTGTCACGCAAACTCAACGTGCAATCATATCGATGGATCGTGCAAATGCGCAGCAGGGTACACTGGTCCGACTTGCCACGAAACATGTTCTCCTGGTACGTGGGGTGTTGATTGTCTGCACATTTGCAGGTGTCAAAATGGCGGTAAATGTGACATGTTAACAGGTGAATGTACGTGTTCACCTGGTTGGCAAGGAAGACGATGTAACAAGATGTGTGAATGGTCTAAATACGGACAAGATTGTACTTTAACTTGCGCTTGTCAGAACGATGCTGGCTGCAGTAATGTAGACGGGACATGTTTTTGCACACCGGGTTGGGTCGGTGATCAGTGCGAGCGAAAATGTAATCGAGGTTGGTACGGGCTAGGATGTAGAAAGAGATGCGATTGCCCGTTGTCTGGACAATGTGACCACATAAATGGTACGTGTTTCTGCCCGATTGGATTTCAAGGAAGCGCTTGTAATGAAACTTGTTCAAAGGGATTTTTTGGGCTTGGATGTCAAAGGGAATGTCACTGCGCTAACGAAGCTAGATGCGACCCGGTAAAAGGAAACTGTATATGCAGAGCAGGGTGGAAAGGCAGGTACTGTGAACTGCCATGTGATGAAGGCTTTTATGGACTAGGATGCAATAACTCCTGTCCTTGTGAAAATAGCGCAAGCTGTGACCATATATCTGGTTCTTGTCTCTGTCTCAGAGGTTGGTCAGGAGACAGATGTCAAAATAAATGCCCATCCGGCACATTCGGGCTTCATTGTGCAAGTACTTGTCAATGCCATAATGGTGCTAAGTGCCATCATATTACTGGTAAATGCACTTGCACAGAGGGATGGGAAGGGACGCGATGTGAGCGACGTTGTGCTGCTGGATTTTATGGTCAAGGCTGCATGAAGAGATGCCAGTGTAGAAATGGGGCTGAATGTAATAATGTCAATGGTTCATGCACGTGTCAGGCGGGTTGGCAAGGCGAGCTGTGTTCACGTGAATGTGATGTAGGATATTACGGTTTAGGTTGTACTGTAATGTGTCAATGTAAGAACGGGGCTCGATGTGATCCAGTAACAGGAAGCTGTAGGTGCCAGCCTGGTTGGCTGGGGACCACCTGCGGGCAAGCTTGTTCGCAGGGAAAATACGGAGATCAATGCCTAAACACATGCAAGTGTCTGAATAACGCGCGTTGTAACGCAGTGACCGGCGCTTGCTCTTGTTCTGCTGGTTGGAAGGGAACCAATTGCAATATGCCGTGCGCTAGTACAGAATATGGCCCTGATTGTGCATTAAGGTGTCAGTGTAAAAATGGAGCAACTTGCGATAGATTTGACGGTTCTTGTAAATGTACTATTGGATGGGATGGAAAATACTGCCACGAACCTTGCGCAAACAACACATATGGCGAAGGATGCAGACTAAAATGTATGTGCAAGAACAATGCTTCGTGCCATCATAAGACAGGTGAATGCACGTGTAAAGCTGGATGGATGGGCCTGCACTGCTCCTTCACCTGCATTCAAGGATTGTATGGACCAGGATGTCATCAGCGTTGCCAATGTCCACGAGGTCTTCTGTGTTCACCAATCGACGGCTCATGTATCTGTGAGCCTGGCTGGACTGGCAGACTCTGTGACACGCCTTGTCGAGAAGGAACTTTTGGACAAGCATGTGCTCTGACATGTCATCCATGTTCTAATGGGGCTAGGTGTGATCACGTGAACGGAAATTGCCTATGTTCCCCGGGATGGACTGGTATGGCATGCTTGACGAAGTGCCCGGAAGGATTATACGGCCCATACTGCAGAAACGAATGTAACTGTCAGAACGGAGCACTTTGCGACCCAGTATATGGAACATGCATTTGTCCTCCGGGATGGATGGGAAGCTCGTGCTCTGATCCGTGTCCTGCTGCTACATACGGCCTTAATTGTAAACACATTTGTCGGTGTGAAAATCTCGGTGTATGTAACAGTGTTGATGGATCGTGTACTTGCCCAGACGGGTGGACAGGTGAACGATGTCACCTGGAGTGTCCACCTGGGAAGTTTGGAGCTAATTGTGAACAATCTTGCCAGTGCCAGAATAATTCAACGTGTGACAGATTTAGCGGAGAGTGTATGTGTGCGCCGGGTTGGCAGGGCCCTGCGTGCTTGGTAACATGTCCTCCTGGATTCTGGGGACCCCAGTGTACAGAAACGTGTAACTGTCAAAATAATGGAACTTGCGATCCTGCTATTGGGTGTCAGTGCGCACCTGGATGGAAAGGAGTCTATTGCACAATGCCGTGCGACTACGGCACGTATGGAGGTAAGTGCAGGTCTAACTGCCTGTGCGAGAACGACGGGATCTGTAACCACATTACTGGTTGCATCTGCAAGCAAGGGTGGAGGGGTAAAAGATGTTCAAGGCCTTGCCCCTCTGGATATTATGGACATAACTGCACCGACAAGTGTTCCTGCAGCAGCAATGGCATCTGCCACCATGTCCATGGATGTGTCTGTTCCCCTGGATTTACTGGCGATAATTGTGAGAACAGCTGTGCAGACGGTTGGTATGGAGACAACTGCTCGAAATTGTGTGAGTGTCAGAATGGTGGAACATGTGATTCCACTCGTGGATGTATGTGCCGTGCTGGGTGGACGGGAGAGCAGTGCAACCAGATGTGCCCACTCGGCACATTTGGTGAAAATTGCAGCAGACAATGTGAGTGCCAGAATGGCGCGGACTGTGATCCTGTGTGGGGCTGCGTTTGTGCTCCTGGATGGCGTGGTGCGCGTTGTACGCGACCATGTATGAGTGGTACTTATGGGTCGCAATGTAAGAAGAATTGTGAGTGTCACAATGGGGCTACGTGTAGCCCTCAGATTGGTTGTGTCTGCATAAGTGGTTGGCAGGGTGAGTTTTGCAACGTCACTTGCCCAACTGGATATTACGGAAGTGGGTGTCAACTAAAATGTTCAGAAAAGTGCCCGAATGGACACACATGCAACTCGTTTAGTGGAATATGTGAGTGCCCAGTCGGGTACAAGGGGCCCAGGTGAGTTGATGTAATTTTGTGAATTGCTTTACTCTAAAATGTAACAAGGTTAACAGAGTACTATGCATGTTATATGGACACCAAAATATTACTTCTAACTCTATTAGCGATTGTTGAATAAGGTGGGACACACGGCGACAGTAGAATATCTAGGAGTCTTGAAATGAAGGGGTGGACTGATGGGCAAGAAATGAAGTGGGGGTCGATAGATAGGTTAAGGGGTGCTGGCAAGCAAATTAAGGCGATTTGAGGTGATTTTTAACTACTTTAGCGTGATTTTTCCCTCAAACGATTTTAATGGTGGGGGGGATTCCCCCGCGCACCCCTGCCCTAGATACTCTACTGCATGGCAGACCCAGGTATAAGAGAGACGGGGACTGCCGTTTCGAAGTTTAGTTTAGTAACGAAGAATATTTGTTAACGCCACAATATAATGTCAGGAGCAAATAAATGAGACACAGCCATAGAGCAAGTTCGTCGTGGACACAAACTTCAAATTTGCTCACACTTACCACCGATCATTCTTTTCTTTATACTTAGTTGTCTACATCGATGTGATCCTGGTTTCTACGGAGCTGGGTGCCAAAGAATCTGCAACTGTCCCGATGAATTAGTATGCGAATCTGTCACTGGTATTTGTATTGGTAAGTTCAGCAATAGTTTTTATTTACCTGAGTTTTCTTCTTTTGTCGTAAATGTGCTGGATAGCCATCACCTAGTGAAAAGCCACATAATCATTGCACCTACATACTGGGATAATAAGTAATCATGAAATAGGAATCATCTTGTTGTCAATACTGCTTTGCAGTTCCGTTGATCTATTTTTACTTTTGGCGTTCACCATGTTTTAGAGCAAACATTAAATACAACAAAGGTCACAATAATTATTAGCTGGTATCGCATTCCTTTGAAGGGAAATACAGACGGGCCTATTCAATGATGTTTTGGAAATCTGGAATTCTCTATTAAAGAAAATATTTATATATTATCATAAAAAAAGAACATGGTAACCTTGGTTGAAAATTTAACTGTTATAATTTTGCATTGTTCCTATATACACGTTTTACGAAATGGCATATTGTCTTACAGGTGTCTTGTCTTCATTTATGGAAATATAGGAAATAACATGTCATAATGTTCAAAATGGAGGAGTTGTTAGAATAAAATAACATTTAAAGGAATACCTCGATCGGTTTTCTTATGAACAGTGTCACTGGAATTGGATGAATAACTGGCAACGAAACGAATGTTTAATTAAGGAAGGAAATTGTCATATTTAGGTGTCTCATCCGTGAAAATACCGGTACAAAACAATGCATTTCATTGCAAGTTGATCTAGCGAAACTAATTCAAGAGGCCTCCCACAGTAAAACGCAATACCGACAAATTAAATTAATATACAGTGACATTAACAAATCACAAAATATTATACCAATCGACAGATCAATGGCCCCTCGTTTTTTAACCGAGTTTCTTGATAATATAATTATCGTGTAGGCCTAGTATGGTTTAAGGTGGTACGCCAAAGGATTGGATGCATAGCCTTTTTGTAGCACTTTGTCTAGGTGTGAGCATCTACGAACATGTCAAAAAGTAATTCAAATGTTTGACCAAATGTTTGACTGGCCATTTTAGTAATACTGTTGCGGAACGTAAATAAATACTTACCATGAAGGTGAAAAACATTTTGTTATTACAGAATTTGTGGTTTTGATGCAGAAACGCTTGTTGGGTATTCTTTGACTGATTTTCCCACTCTACTTCCCCAACACAAAAGGGCAATTAAAAGCTATAGGTTATTTTGCGCATAAAATACACACGTCACAAACAAAACCAATATCAAAATAAACAATAGGCCTACGCCGCATTCAAACCATATATACGCAAATCGCCTGTGCACATTTTTCTACAGCAAGTTTAGATTCGATTGACAGTTAAATTCTACAATTCCCGAATGCAATTTCTCATCTTTTCGCTTCATTACCAAGCATAATTTAATGGTAACGCATACGTTGTCACATAGTCAATTTGTAACTCTGAAATTAGTTCGACGACACTGGGTGTTAAGATGAACGTATCAAGAAAAAAGATTGCCATAACATCGTAAGCAGCAGTGTATATAAGGCCATCGGTCCATTTCATATATCCGAACTAAACTTTCTTGACATGCTCATGACAAATGACACTCCAAGGGTGTGGGTAAGGGGAGGCAATGCGTTTAAACCGACACATTAAGAAAAAGCAGGACAAAACAGAAATCACTAGAGTACTAGTAAGAAAGTTTAATGGAGGAAGAACAACAAATTTGTTTTAATTTTTATAACCTATTTTCAAAACACCCGTAGAAAGAATCTGCAACCACAAGGGGGTTCAATCGTTTGTTTAGGTTGAAATTATGTACGCCGAGCTTATTTTCGGATCCCAAAGGGCCTAGGTTCATTATGGACTTAAGTAGAAGATGGTACTGCAGGTCAAGATGAACTGCAAGATAATTACGAAGGAAGTGCTGTTACTTTGGGGGATCTATCAGAGCGGAAAGCTATTATAGTTCATTCACAACGTTTGTTAGAAATTATCATTTCGATTACGTCATCATCAAGTTCTGAATCTGGGAGATATTAAAAATGATTGTACTGATTTTTTTTTTGATTTTTTTTTTTATTGAGTTGAGTATGCTAGCTTGCCGTCATAGCTTAGTTGGTAGAGTACGGTAACCGAACTGTAGGGCGCTTTTGATTTGCACGACGACGTGACGCTAGCACGGATTCACTCATACGTGACCGTCCTATGTTCTTGGCAAAAACGTAGATTTGGTCAAATTACGTCTTAGAATCCATGGGACAAGGAGAATTACGTTCTCGCATGCGCAGATGACCTCTTACTAACGTCTTTGAGTTGAAAGCTCCCTTTCAAAAGAAGGGCCTTGAGTTCGAATCACAATGGTGATATTACGTTTTTTTTTTCTCAAAAAAGCTATTATCTTCTCATAACATAAACTCATGAAGGTGTTTGTAATGGTGACTATCATAAATGTAAACCTTGAAGAAAATAATGTGGAATGTGTTATGTCACGGTCCAGTTATGATCATTCTTAGTTGACCTAACGTAGTTTCCATGTCTAGGCCAGGCCTATTTCATTCAGAGTTTCTGTCACGGCCCACACAATTAATTCCTGGAGAGGAAGTATGAGTCAAGTATAGGTATGTCGCCCAAAGTCAGGCTTATTGAGATAAACATTTATTTCGATTGGTCACTGGTTTTTACGGGTGTACAACGGAAGTAATGGTAGATTTTGCCGGCTGACCTTTATTCACTTTCCATTATTCCATTATTATTATTAGATGTTAGATTCAACTATATAGGAAGGCGTGTCCTAATCGAATTTATCATTTCATTCCTCTAGGACACGATTCATGTTGTCAATTAAAATGAGGTACAGGTAATTGACCATGTAGCAGAAATGTATAAAGATGGAGGTAATGGCCATATCTCCGACAAATAAGGCGACGACTACTGTGTGTAGGTCTAAACGTATACAATTATGAATGTTCTCCTTCCTTCCGTGTTTATACCATAACTGTATCTGTACCTGCAGGTACTCCAGTAAAACGGAAAGACATACACAACACATAGTTTAGTTACATACTGTACAAAAGTGCTGTTTAAACTTAGTTCAATTCACTCAAGAAACCTACGCCACGATTTTCTGATTGTGACTGCGTTGGCGCAAACGCATGCAACGTTAGTACTATGGTGCAGTAAGTAGTACGCTAGCGGTGCCAGTGCGTTTGCTTCAACTCGTCACAATTGCCCTAATGTGAACCAAGTCTCAGAGTGCACAAGGTGTCTGAAAATTTCATTGCATGATGATTCCGATGACAGATAATTACATTATTCTGGTTTATGTACTCGAATCGAGAAATAACTGTAAATGATATTAGCCCATGGCAATACTGCCACCTAAGTAACTTTGTCACTTGAAGCACCATCTGTGCGGAAGGGGCTAGAAGCGTTTGGGAATCGGATCGATCGTCTTCTCGTAGTATGCATTGCTTCAATTAAATCCAAACATAATTTCTCGGTACTGATCTACTTCAGTACATTACACAACCTCACCTATACGTATTAAGCTTCTTCTACTGCCCAAGGGAAACATGATAGTTTGATAATGAAAATATCAAGAAACTGTAGTCTTTTAAATGCGGAAGTTTCAAATTACATTATACTGTTTTTGTTATTAATTGGATTTTTCCCGTATTGTTTCAGAATGGGCATTATACACAACACCGTTTTTCAACGACAGCACTTCTAGTGGTCCGACGCTGGTGCGATATGTCCCGAATGAAATCCCCGATCCCCCGGCTAACAGGAAGGGTACGCATGTACTAGCGTCGCCTATACTGATGTATATTATCATCGGAGGAGCTGCAGTTGTATCACTCATCTTCATCGTCATCGTTATCTTTGTTTTACAAAACTTCAAATGCGGCGCATACGGGTCGTACAGGTGAGCGCACGCGGTGGGACAGCGCGTACAACGTTTAGGTGGCGATAAATCTTCAGCTATTGTGATGATGGTGATGATGATGATAATGACGATTATGATGATTGTGACGACGATTATGATATGTAATGACGATGACGATGTCGGTGAGGAGAACGACGACGTCGATGTAGATATTGACGTTGGTGGTGGTGTCGATAACGATTTGTTAAAACGTTTTAGAAGTGCCTCATTAGTTCTTATGATATTAAAGAGGGGGAAAATGTTTTCGACAAGAAGGTCTAATTTAATTTCCGATAAGGTCAGGGTCCAGGAGTAAAGAACCTTTCAGTGTCCAGACTGTGGACCCACTGGCGCTCAGAAAACCTGAGAACATTTTGGGTCATTTTTATACTGTTTTAAGAGGTTTTATAGAAGTTATGCCCAGGAAATTACTCATAACACAGACCACCTTGAAATAAAGTGACACAATTCGATAAAAATAGTTACGATGATGACGGTGATAGTGAGCTTGTAGATCATGATCATATTAGTGGTGGTGATAGTAATGACGAATATGATTATTATTAGGCATTACAATAGAGATGATGGTTATGATTGTTATTAGGCCTATAATGGTGGTAATTGATTACAATAGTTATGATGATTATGATTATTATTAGGCCTATAATGGTGTAATTCATTACAATAGTGATGAGGTTTAGCGAAGGTGATAGTGGTGATGATGGTGATAATCATGAAGACGACGATGATGATAATGTAGGGCCGGTGGTGGGGTGAAATGGTCGAGGTCGAGTGTTGGTTATAGTGAGGGTAACAGATGATTGGCTTATAATGGTGATGACGATGCTGATGATATTATTTTTGATTATAACATTATGCCATGACGACTTAAACGAAGATGTTAAAATATTGCCCGCGAATGGTATATGGATATTGTTATTGGCTAGAGGCATGGATGCATTAATACTCCTATAGCCAAATATATCAGTGTCCTTAAATTTCGTTAATAGCAATCCCTAGCCGAAAGTTGCGTAGTGATAGAAAAATATATGTGTTTAAGTTTTATTCAACTGGGAGTTGGACCAAATACGAAAGGCAAATGTTTCGATATAGCTTCAAGCTCAAATGTAACTCAAGCGCCTTGATTTTGCTTCCGACACAGGAAATAGTTTCAACAGATTTTGCTATTATCACCAGGGAACAGTTAAATTACAGATAAATAATAATTTAACTGTTCCCTGGTAATCACTCAGACTATTTAGCACAATACAAAAAATAATAAAAAATATATACAGTATATATACTGTCTCTTATACACATCTAGATGTGTATAAGAGACAGACAAATGACACTCCAAGGGTCTTTATATATATATATCAATATATATATATGGAAGCCTGTTCCTCATAGACAACGGAATAATGACAATTAAATGAACAGTTTTGCTTTATCGATCTTTAATCGATGGCATTTTGATATAAAAGATTAAAAAAAATACTAAGCCTGGTATGACCGGGTTTATAGTTTATTCATACTTTATAAAGACTTTAAATAATTAATTAACTTCAATAATGATAAGATCGACTCAATGAAACTTAATGGTCAGCTTTATCCTAAGACTTATGGTGCGCCAAACACGTACAATAATTGACGGAATAATCTATCCTTTCTAGTTATTATCATGTAGTGTGAACTGGTCATTTGACGTTGGGTAGTATAACCAGAAATGGCAGACAATAAATATGTCAACACAGTCTGGCGGAAAGAATATCTACTTCGCTTGACATTTTAACGATTTTCTTTGACAATTTCATAAATAAATACTATAGACACTAACCTGACACATATATAAAACCCCTTTAGGCATAATATCATGATGCATTGATATAAAGGTGTTGTTGCCAACATCTTAAAGTGGCTCTGTCACAAATTGTCATTGTATTTTTCGGCTCGCATTTGAATAATTCATCCATCTACGTATGTTTAAACGCGCTGTTGGTCTTCGGATTGGATGTTGCAAGTACAGGTATAGCCTCATTTACAATACTGTAGGCCTACGTGTTTCGTTGACAGAACTTACACCTGTAACGATACTATAGGTCGTGGAAAGAGACACTTTAAATAGTGAAACTCCGGAAGATGACGATTTTTGGCATGCACTTGCGTCCACATTAAGTACACCGTTTTACTTTCACATTCCGGTATTCCTCGTGCACGGTGTCTGATATCATTGCAAGTAGGCTATCATAATGCTGAATACTTTTCAGACATTCGAACATGAAATTACAAAATTGAATGGTCGAGACCGGTCGTAGACCGAAACAAATCATTTTTGCCGATTTTCAGAACCTTTACTACGGAAATGCAAGTAATTAGATCTAGCAACCAACGTGTGGTTGCTAGATTATTGTCGAAGAAAAACTCATCTAAATAGGCCTACTTGAATATAAAATGTAAACTATTAATAGGCCTATTTTTTGTTCAAGTTATTTTTAGATCAACCAACCATGCTTCAACACGACTTAAACTAGCCTATCATCAACATACATTTTTTGATACGTGTGCAACCCAATTCAACACTCAAAGATACCACGTGAAAACATAATGAACCCGCATTCTTCCGCTTATGCTAGTTAAACTTGATCTCCACATCTGGTGATGGCTGTAATGCTTTACCTAGACCTACCCGCTAACAAATATTGCACTGAATCGCCTGACTGTGGCCTCTCCTCGTGGGAATGCCACATCAGCTAATTGGAAGTCAATGACACACGATTGCTTGCCACCATATCATAACAGAATCTGACATTAATATCTTTTTTCATTTAAATAATCGATGGATCCTTCTTTCTGGATAGCACTTGGAGTGGTTTGTCTCAAATGATGCATGTAATAAACCTTTCCCGTAAACCCCATTCCTTTGATATCGTTGCTTAAGGTGTAGGATCTTAAGCAGCGTGAACGTACAAAAGCCTGCGTGGTTGTGGGACATGCGCGTATTCATGGCTATTAAGTAACGCATTTTGATTGGTCAGTTGTTGACGTTGATTGGCACTCGGGAAAGGCTTATCCTTCCTCACACATAGCTACCACATGAAAAACATAAACGCGGTGGGGTATGATCAATATTGGTAATGCAAGAAATGAAAGCATGGATCAGTGGATGAGCTTCATGTTAATTTATCTAATCTAATCGAACAATTGTGTTTCAACGTCAACATATAATTGCCTAAAAGCTTTTACGGTATAAAAACAAACACCGCTACTTTAGAGAGATCTGTAGCAAATACCATTTTAACTTGTGCAGTTCGAAAGCTGTTACGGAGAAAGGTCCCACAGGGGCTGTTGCCTGAAATACACACAGCGTTCGTATAAAAGCGTGTGTTTTATATTTGTTTACATTTTTGGATGATTAGAAAACTTATTTACTATGACCAAAAATACAGTCGATGTATAAACACATTGCACGCTTACTCTAGATGTATTTATGCTTGCGCTACATGTTAAGCCGCGCCTGTCGTAACATTTTCGCACCGCGGTGAATCAGTCTATGAGTTTTAATACCATACATGTTCATTCCCTGTGATAATAATGTCTTTTATTACATCGTTACTCTACTTTACCCGAGTGTCTATCCTACCACTTTAGGAATGAGCTTACCTATCGTATATAAAAATGAATGTGCATGAAAATTTGTGAAAAGCATGTTTTGTATGGGTAGTAATAATAGTGTGTGTGCTACATTACAGTACCATTTCATGTGTTCTTCATTTGAATTTCACAGCACGATGGAAAGACCTGACAATATGGGTATGGTTGATAGGTCGGAGTTTTACAAATACAATGATCAGTTTACTAATGGTAGTTCAGACGGGCCTACATACAACGAGATGAGTGGTACGTGTATATAGAATACTCCATCCATGACGCATGCTTTCGAATACTGAACACCATATAATTAGCGCATATGATTTGTAACTGTTGCATGTGTCCTGAATGCCTGCATGTGTGACTATGGTGCTAGAAACCCTAGACGTGACTCATCAAACGAATTATGGGAGCAAATGAATTGTGGGATTGAGATGTGAACTGCACAATTTAATACCAAGCATGTGGAACTTAAGTTATGCAAATAGCTTGCGGAAGACAAACTTCTGTACATCAAGAGACGAATTAAATTGCATAAATCCAGTCTGTGCATTTGTTTTTAATCTTTGAGCCCAAAACAGGAAATTCAATTCTGCATAAGGGATAATAAACGTTCGAACTTCAAAAATTACAATACCATATTGCTATGCAACGAGGCGTACTTCATTCTTATTAGCTAAGGGAATGAAAACGATTTCATCAAAGTTGTTTGACCTTTACTGAGACAATTTACGTTATTTATTTCATGGAATTGTTTAAGTTGTTTCAAACGAGCCCTAACGAAACGCTTCAAAAATCCAGTTGGAAACCTACAAAAACTTTTATCACGAAAGAGTCTTATATATTGCAGACGATCATGTGCGGTTTTTTCTCTCAAGATTCGAATTTTGACAAATGAATCATTAATTTCCCGTCATGCAGTGTGACAACGATGCAGCATGGCACAGGAAAGTACAGCCGGAGGATGGATCATTGAAAATTGTGTTGTATTCCGTCAAATTACATTATGATAGGCTAAATTATTTCATTTCTTACTCACTGCTATAACACATGCAGTGTATCGTGACTCATTTGTATTACATAGCACACCAGCCCACAGAATTAGAAAGGGAAGATTGCGATATTTCCATGGATATAGGCCTACCAGTGTTGTATGTGTATAATGGTTTCTAAGTACCATGCAATACAGCCTTGAATTTACAAGGGACAGTCTCCAGTCATATTCTGGCGTATGATGTAACGTAATGATGAGAGCCTAATGAACGTAAGGAATCCAACACCGATATTAACATTTCAAGCATTGTTTTTTATCGTCGTCATTAACTAATGTGTAGGAGCCTATCCTTGATATTGGGCCAAGTAAACATATATATTAGTTTATCGTCCTCGCCTACTTAATTAATTAATTATTTTTGCTGCCATCCGAATTATCCCATTGCCATTTAATTGAAATCCTTTGTATTCGCTGGAACACAATTTTACTTATAGACCTTCCTGATGGTAATCTCCAAATTTCTGTAACGACCTGATCTGAAGAAAGCTGACGGCAAAGGCCGGCCTCCTTCATTTTTTTAAAGTTATGATTAGAAACTATTTCTTACTTGAACTTGCACAAGAATTTTTTTTTTCAAATTTCAAAGCGGTTGTCTAATCACCAGTCTTGAACTCTCTTTTCTGAAATTGAGTTTACAGCTGTAAATGACCAAATAAGCGCTTAATTCCTCTTGAAAAAAGTGCTGTGCCATTAAAAGGCCAACTCAGACAGCGTCGGCCGACGCAGCCCGACCCGATTTATCCTCGGGGACAGTCTTAAGCCGTCGTGAGAAATATCTTGGAAATATTAAACACGTTTAATATTCTACTACGCGACTGCCCCCGACGCACACCATCGCGTCTGCGTTCAACTCACACAGACCCGACGCGACAACAAATCGCGTCGGGCTGCGTCGGCCGACGCTGTCTGAGTTGGCCATAATACGCTAACCTAATACCCAATTTAATGTCTAAAGATAGCCAGGGTTATTATAGGCCCACAAGGGTAACATGGTAAACACAACTCTAACGGCGCTCCAGTAAAGTCAAATACAACTTTTTATAGGCCTAGCACAAACGGCACTTACTGTTGACCATTAAGGTATTAGGCGTAAGCATACTGTGTGCAAGCGCAATGGACATTCATTCCTTGTTTATCGTTTAGATTCCATGAAATGACAACGCAAACGTACGTAAAGCGCGTTTTCCCTGCCCTGCTCTGATTGGTCAGGAGTTTTTAGAAACATTCTGGAAAGGTCTATTTTAATTCCAGGTATTAAGATAACCACTTAATAATGCATTGTTTAACATGTTAAAAAAACGTGACCATCGTGAACTTTAATTTTATTATTATTATTATTATTATTTTTTTGTTGTTGTTTTACAGTTGATCAACAAAATACAGACAACCGTAACAGCGTCTATTTCCACAACGATAAAGTGGACTTCGTCGTCACCAAAACTTATAAACCTGTCAAGTTGACAGGTCTTGATGAGGTACAGGACAGACTAAAACCAAAGCGTGTGAAAATAAACGATGATGGCGCTATTAGTGAAGAAAACGACAAAAATGAGGACAGGATATGTGAGCATGCGTTCGTGGATACATCACCTAAACTAACAAACGTGCCGCCATTCATGCTGCCTGATGAACCGGCCGCCGTTGTTATAAGTGACAGTATTCAGCAAACTACACACGTTAAATCTCCTCGTAAAACACCTCCACCAGTCCCGCCACGAAGGGTTCGATAGGTAGCCGTTGCCCCAATTTTAATTTCTTAAATTTGAAGATTGAATGGAAGTAGAGCAGGCATGTGCAAGATCAAGCTTCTATTTACTGATAGAAATTTTTCTTGATTATGCTTATGTATACAAGAGGTGTATTGAAATATAAATATATTACATTAATATACATAAGGCCTACATATATATATAATATATAATATGCCTATATACCATTTATATATATATATTATGTTTCTGTCTATATAAATATAGGCCTATATATAATATATATATATATATATGTTTATATAAATATACATATATATATATATCTACATATATACTAATTATTATATTTTATGCTGGACCTATATTATATACTGGTACATAATTATAAATACCGTACATAAATACATAGTGACAGAATGACACCATACTATTATACCGGTAAGCTACAATATAGGACTACATAATATATAAATATATAGATGTGTAATTATAATAAGCATACAATATATATAATTATGTGTATTTATGACGTATACGCCTATATATTATTTATGTTATATATTAACAATGTTAACGATATATTAATTTCGAAACTTAAAATATTTATACAAAATAGGAAATGTATCTAAGTGTTTACTTATAAATGAAATGTAATCCAGTATGGAAGTCAAGCATATTTATGCGTAATGGGAGTGATTATATTTTGTATGCGTGTGTGTGGTGTGGGATTGTACATGGCGTGCCAGAGGGATGTGGGTTGGTTGGAATATAATACATAGGCCTGACCCTATTTGCCGGATTAGAATTAGTTACTGATTATTTTATAAAATATCTTATCAGGCCCTGTTACCCAGAGAAAATCTGGATGTAGATTATTTATTTGAGCATGCGCATTAATATTACGATGGTGATGGTAAGCCTCTTTCTCATAAGGTTTTGCAATACGGAGCCAGTCATTCTAATTCTATGCCTACTTATAGTTTTGTATTCCAAATCCAAGAGTCTTTCATGTTTCGTCTTCCTAGATAAACTTTAAGTGTGTAGTTTGCACGCATGAGAAGTTAGGATAGTTAGTCCACGTATATTAAGTTGACATTATACTGCGCGTTTATATCCGGCGCGTAGTTTCCGTTGGAGCGGGAACTCCTGAACTTTTTGATGACGTGAGAAAAATTATGTGATTTGTTTTATATCACTGGTATCGTAAGCATATTGTGCATATTAAACGGATGAAATAGCATATAAGTGTTTAGTTATCAAACAGGAAAAGGCTCGGTGTGGTTTGTATCGTAGGTTGAAAGATCACTTTTACAGCTTAGCAGTCAGGCCTGCCAAACATGATAAACATTTTTATTTCAAGCTGTTAAATCTCTCCTTTCATTTTAAAAATTAGAAGCCACCTTGACCATCTTCCTTCTTCGAATGTTTTCTTAGATGTGCCATACGTGCTTAAGCCTATTTTGGTTGTTTACTTTATGAAAACCAATTTAATTTAATGGCGTTTTAAACTGTATAATATCGAAAGCTTATATAGCTATTAGGTGACATCATTAATTGCCAATGGCTGATCATTGCCTTGTAAGAAGTCAGGGTACCGGGTACGCGTAAACTACTACTTTGTAACGAGTCAAGTGACTATATTGTAGGTCAAGTGACTGGGGTACAGAGTGACAAGTGGACCTAAATTGTGCGTCCACACTGACTAATGAAAATTTAATTACACATCGCCAATTAACTAGCGATGAACCATCTCTGCTGACCGTCGGTAATGGACACTGCATGGCATATACTGAAGCAACAGCTGATAACCATCATATGGTATTATAGCATAGTGCCCTGCAGAGGCCACCGATGCTTATGGCGAGCCGAGTTGTCATTTAATCGTAAATAAAGATATCTTAGTTTTAAATATAAGACATCTCTATTTAAAACTAAGATATCTCTATTTAAAACTAAGCTATTTCTATTTAAAACTAAGATATCTCTATGATTAAATGACAACTCGGCTCGCCATAGATGCTGGCCATTGGGCAATTTATACAATACGGTACCACCATTGGTGTGGACATCGGACAATCGTATTGCTTACTTGCATTAGCCGAGGTATTCTGCTATTCTGAGGGTGGTTCTGCTTTGTTACCTTTTTTATTTCATTGTGCTAAACGTATGACCAATGTACTAGATGCTTGTACAGTAATAAGAATTACTGAGGCCAATTCGAGAGTCGAATGTCAATACAAGACGATTAACTCCAACTAAAATTGACTAATGTATTTATAAATATGTTGTTATTTTCTGTTTTTAAATTGCATAATTTTGTCTTGTTATATACAACGGAGTTTTGATGTCAAAAACTGCGCACAGTCTTTTAGACTGCGATCAGGATACATAACCGAATTTAAATATACTGGTACAATAGAAACATGGAACAGTTTAGATAGCATATTGTGTGGTAAGTTAAATATTATATAGTCTGTGATAAACACGGGGAAAATTCAATTACAACATTGAATTAATCATTTACAAGGATCAAAAGTATTAAAAACTTCCAATGGGGCAGATAAAAAATATTCAACTTAGCTAACAATTTTACATTATAATTACTTTATTGGTGTTCAAAACTCTCTTTGTAGAACTATGAATACGTATTTATAACTGTAATTTCCGACTCAACGTTGTTAACGTTGTTGCACGGTGTGCTAATGACATAACCTAACCAACAATGTTTACAACGTTCGCAAATGTTATAATACTGTTTTGTGTTTGCTGACCCAACTCGGTACAGTGTAAATAGTTTTAGGTAAATCGTGTATTTTTCTAAACAATAATGATTTAATTGTAAATATATAGGCTGCTCCATGATCTGATTTTACTTACAATGGAGAGCTACTGATGTTGTTTATTTGTAAATAACACGTGGATGTAGCAATAGCAACAATAATTGCTTTGTAATTTAAATAAAATTAAAACATACGAACGCTGTGGCAATAATATTGTTTGCTTTTATGTCCGCTCCTTAATAATTGAAAGCGAATGTTGTTGAAACAGAAGAATATGATGATGATGATGATGATGAAATTATTGTTATATTTATGGCCTTATGAACCGGTGGCCTGATTGGTTGAATAAAGTCGGGTAGTTGCCCGAATGAATGAATGAACAATATTAAATTATAATAATTACAATAAACTGAATTAATAATAGGCATAAATATAAATTAAGTTGGCCTACACCTGAAAATTAAAGAAGTGAAAGAAAACTTCTATTTCTCCAGATCTTTATGCTTTGTTGTTGCTTTTGATATACTTAGTGTATTCTCGCAAAGTTGTGAAACATATAGTGTAGGCCTACCCTAAAATTCTAATAATAATAACTCACAAAAATGTCTCTCAGAGGACCAACTAGTACCAATTAACAGTACACTGCACAACGTCTCCCGGTCTACTGCCTGGGCCCCAGAACGAATCACTGGAAATATATTTTCAGACTTTTTAATAACTATTGTAAAATAAAACTATTAAATAAGTAAATAAATCATTTACTTATATAGCCTTTGTGCTTAGCGTACTGACGTATCTATCGCGACAGTTTTTCCTTCGTATGGGACGCCAAATCAGTTGGAATCTTGCTTAGGCACAATCAGAAACGTTGAATAAAAGAAAATACCTAATATCTAACGATTGATACATCTCTGAAAAGCGTCATCTTTAATTATTATAGGGCTAATCCTTTGTGTATTAAAATCTTTCAAATACAATAATATCTATCTTTAGAGACGGGAGCATGCGCAGAATACGTCAACTAATAGTCACAAACCCAAATGTCTCGTCAACTACTGTTACCCCGGCAACGCTAATGACATCTGCATACGGCAGAAGCACTTGGAGGTGGTATTTTTGAAACCACGGGTAAATAATGATACGGGAGGGAATGTATTTCACAGCCAGATTATGAATTACATAAAAGAGATAGCGATTGAATATTTCAGATACAAAGACACTGAAGTCTAATCCAAGATGAGAAATATAATAACCTAACGCGTAACAAAATTAATTTCAATTTCAATCATGAAAAGCAGAGCAATTCCAAAATGAGGGCGTTGATTTTGAGGGTGAAACACAGTTTGAAAGTTTTATTCGTTTTATATTGTGAATAAATAACTTAAAGCCAGGATCCGGTGGAAACAAATTGTGTATGTTAATACAAAACGGATATTTGACGAAAAACTCGGGAGCCGTTAATAAGTTTATATTAGCCACTACTTTTTTGCTTTTTATTTATTTATCTATTTATTTTATTTTATTTTTTTATTTCACTCACATCCAACGGCAAGTACACTGGCCATTTTACAGGATGAGAATGATGCTTTATAAACTAATTACGGAGTGGAGTTGTTTTTATCGTGAGAAAAAGTCCTGCTGTCACAAGAATTGAACCAAGGATCCTGGGATCAGAAGGCAGGCACCTTAACCACTGAGCTATTCTAACTCCACTCCCTTAGCTACTCTGAGCTATTCAACTCCACTGCTTCCGTGCCGTGCGTTCTTTATTTTTTAATGTTCCTGTCGTTCGTGGGTTTTTGTCTTATTCTCTTCTTTGTTTTTTGAAGTGTTTTGAAATTTACATAAATTAGGGGCCTATCATATTTTATATTATTTGGCCAGCCCGATCTTTTCAACCGAATTTACTTTCAGGGTTGTTGCCTCTTTTATTAGTTATACAGTTATTCCAATATTGATCAATTTAATTATTTTCTACTGTGTAAATAGCTAATAAGAAAAGATGAA